AAAAAAAAAAAAAAAAAAAAAAAAAAAAAAAAAAAAAAAAAGACTAAATTATTTAGAGTCACAGATTTAGAAAGTAATCTCAGAGGAAATCTAGGCCAATGGAATTCAATAAGTGCTTGATGGAGCTTGGGAGTCCTTCAAGATGCTCAGTGTCAGCTTTAGAGAAGAGGGATACCAGCTGGGTTCCAGTGCCTCCACACTCCCAGTTCAGCAAGAGCCGGTCCTTTTATCCATTTTACTTATATTAGGCTTTTGGTGTAAAAATCTTATTGTGAAACTTTAAACATTGTAAAACAATGACCTTGCCCAACATCACATTACAATAAATGCAAATTGGAGGCCCAGGGACCAAAGGCAGCAGAAAAATTGGTAGCAAATAATTGGTAGCAAAGTTGAGTCTAAAACTCGCCTTTGGCATTCATGTGTCCGGTGTGAATTTCTATGTCCTGCTTATAAGTAGTTATGTGTGTCAGGCTGCCTGGAGAGAGCTTTGAGTGAGGTATAATCCATGCATCGGGACTTCAAGAGCTTATCAAATTTTATAGGGGAAGTAAATATCTTAATGTATCGCAATAAAGAATATAATAAAATTTAATAGGAGTTCCAAATCGTGTGACAATAGTAAAGAAAGGATTCATTAAACTCTGAGTCATGCAATCATAGATAGTTTGACCTAGAAAGAACTTTAATAACCATGTAATCTAATCTTTTGAATTTATAGATGTCAATCCTGAGGTTTGGCAGTTAAGTGACTTAGCTCTGTAAGTCTCAACTATTGCGCTGAGCCAGTAATTAATTGGGAAGAACTAGAATACAAATTGATGTATGTCCAGTGTTGTAAATACTGAGAGATCTGAAGTGTCGAGATGAATTTTGAGACAAAGAAATCAAAGACGATGCTGACCATGCCCGTTGAGAAGATGGGAAAGGAATTTTGTTGCCTGGAGAAGTGATTTAGTGTTCACAGAGAAGTAAGATACTGGAACTGGAACCAGATGATGGAAAAATAGACTGCCACTGTAGATTCTAGAATGAGGCTGGGATGTGGTAGACAAAGAACTTAGAAAATGAGTTTCAAGTGCTTCACATAGATTGGGTTGAACTGAAGGTAGAAAAATAGAAAATTAACTCAGTTGGAATGAAGATTGAGAACACACAGTGACAGAGCAGACATATAACAAAGATTTTCTCTATATCTCAGGTTTTGAATGTCACTGATGAAAAAAATACTTCAGGAGTGAAAGGAATGAAGTTGAGAGGAATAAGTTGAGAGGGATAAAGCAAATTTAGAGGAGTAGAAAATATTTATCCTAACCTTAGATGTATTTGATTGAGTGTGATGGTCAGGTCTAGAGGAGATGTCCTATAGACTGCTGAGGATAAAGTAGGATGCTCAGGCTGGGCTTGGGAAGGATTAGACCAAGATGGTAATCACTGCCACATCCAGGGAGAAGTCAGAGGAAGGAGTGAGCAATAGGCCAAAGCCCAGTGGAAAGTCACTGAGGACCAATGTGGAAGGGAGGGCTTTGGAGAGGGTGTGTGTGGGGACATTGGGAAGGACCTTGGCAGATGGCCAGCAGCAGGATTCCAGTTTCTCACTCCTACTCATTCCATTCCAATCCAGCAAAAACCCAGGGAGAGGGGGAGTGATATGGGAGTATTAGGAAAGACACTGAAGTTTAGCTGTGTCAGAATAAGATTTTCTAGAGTCTAGAGGACACAGCTCAATTACATCACCACTAAATTTCTGCTGGTTCTTTGAGCTGACACTGACCATGGTTGAGAGCCATCAGCCTGCCTGCCTAGTTTCATTTCACACAGAGCTCTCCATTTGTCTGCCTCTCCTGGGTCTCAACACAGCTCCCAGGCTGCCTACACTTCTGCTGCCACAACCAAGAGAGCCTCAAAAGTTTGGTCTAGTGGGAACACATCACATGGGCTTGCACAAAGGCCATTGGATACATGGTCCAGGGGATCAGCTATTCCTTTGTTACTCAGAGTGTGACCCAGGTGCCAGCAGCATTAACAGCATTTGGTTGCATGTTTAAACTGCAAGGTCTTGGTCCAGGTCCCAGACCTAGGGAGCCAGAGTCTGTACTTGTGAATGAGAACTAAGTTAGCATACCAGTGCCTATCTCATCACTGGAATTAGAACCTTCGGCCCAAGAAATAATATTTAAAGAGTTCCCTATGGGATTCAGAAGAACAGTCAAATTTGGGAGCCAACAAAGCTAATGGAACTTTTCCAATTTTTTTGAAATTAAAATTAATTTTATGTAGAAAAGGAAATTAATATTCATCCTGAGAAGAGTTAAGAATGTTAAAATATCACTCATAATACTGTCAGATATAAATAGGTGCTGTAATGTAACTGTTTCTATGTATGTCTTTCAATGTATGTGGATTTAAATGGGGTGATAATGTATTTGTTTTTCACAAGCTCTGTTTTTATTGAGAAAATGCCATAAAATATTCTGTAATATCAACTTAATGTATATATCTTCTCAATTTGACATACTTTTTATCTTTATTGTTTATCAGTACATTTTAGGTATACAGTACAGTTACATTCATCATTAGGATCTTGTACCTTTACATGACTTATCTTGATTCTTATTTTCCCCTTTTCCCCAGCCCTCCCTTCACCCCTTCCACCCTTCCCTGTTTACAAAGACATTGATTCCACATTTTTCCTTTTCACATATTTTTTCTTTTCCCTTTTGAATTTGACATACTTTTAAAATCAGTTGTCTATTTGACATTTAGGTTGTTTCCAAAGTCACAGTATTATAAAAAGTAATACAGTGAACATCTTTAAATGTTAGGAAGTCAATTATTTTTCTTTGGAATTAGAGCAATGCACACAGTCACAAAGTATATGTTGGAACTTTGATTCAGAAAACCAACATCCATCCTTCTGCATTTTTCAGTTCTCTGTTACCTTTCACTCTCACCTACTCTTGAGCTGCCTCAAGGCCCTAGTGTAGAAAATGACTTGTCCAAGATAACAGTGGCAGATCCTGTTCTAAAAGCTACTTTAGCTAGAGCCCTGTTTCTTTGAACAGCTAGGCCACATATGCCAATGCTAAGGGGACCTGAACTGCTGTCAGCATCAACCTGTTCCTCTTAATCTGCCTCTTTCAAAGAGCCATATTCCCTCCCCTCTTCTTTCCTCCCACTCTTCCTCATCTCCTGTCTCTTATTTTCTTTCTTCCATATTTTTTCTCTTTCCATTTCTTAGTGAGAATCAGATCTATTCAGTATTCATCCTTACATTTACTTTTTTTGGTTCTGTTTTCTGATTGGTTTTGGGTTTCTCTCCACATTGCATTCTGGATTGGCTTTTCTGGAAGCGGGGAGCATTTTAAGGAAGAGCTCTTGATTAGGATAATCCACTAGGGAGGAGCAGAATCATTTTAGATTGTTTACCCTCAGAAACACATGTTTCTATACCCTGTGTTTTCTACCTGGAACAGAACCGGAGTTTGGATAGGCTCTTCTTAACACTCTCTGCAAAGTGATTCCATCTCAGGGAATGATGCTTCCTAACTCTCTGGAAAGACCCATCTGCTCCTCCTAGAAATGCTGTTTTCCCCCTGAAAACTCACTCTTTGCAAGACAGGAGAATCAGAGTGTAGCAACCTTTGGGTCAGGCTGGAACCACCCTGAGTTTACCCTCAAAACTGTGAGGATGGATCATAGTCTACCTCACTCTCAGCCAGGAAGGTGTTTCATGTAAGCTATTTGGCGGAACATGTCCTCTAGTTTCCTAGAAGTAGACACAGGGCACCTATTCTGGCTCATACTCCTTCTGGCTTCACTTGCTCCCAAGTGAGGGAGAGGCAGAGCTGCCTGGAGTTTGATAGTGGGGGAAACCATGGTGGATTCTGGCAGCCTGATTATAAGTAAGTGGCTTTTGCATCCTGTAATTGGGTAATTCTGTCTCCTGCTCCATCTCTTTGCCTTCTCTAATAGCCTTTTTCTTTTTCCCCTTAGTGAAGACCAGACACCCTTATTGCAGGAATGTGCTCACTCCCCATGGCAAGATATTACATGTAAGTCATTCTGGTATGACCCCATTTCTCAATCAGGGGGTCTAAGGATCACATAGAAAGAAGTAAAGAAAGCTGAGTCAGAGGGGTAGGCTCCTTCTCATTGTGGAAATCTGAAATGACCCATAATTATGGTTTGCCATCAGCACAATAACAATAGCTCTCTTTCCTGAGTGTCTCCAAATATCCATCTGCTACCGACCGTAGGGGAGCAAAGACTGGATTTCACGAGGAGAACAGGGATCTTCAGAAAGGTGGGAGCAGGTTCGGCGGCGACAGTCAGAAACCACACAGCACTGAGTAGTGAAGGTAGTAGCTGCTGCAATTTTATTTCTAACTCTAGGTGTATATATACTAGTTTCAAGGGCACACCTCAAGAGTGATTTCAGTCACAAGCAGGCATGAGAAAGATAGACAACTGTGCTGTAAAAGCTAAGACCACAAGGTCAAGGTAAGACCACACCTATACGCAGTCAGAAGGGGAAGTTTGTAAAACAAAGGACTGGCTTCAGCATGTCACCTTCAGGATCACCTTCAGGACTTCACAGTCCGGGGCTCAGGGTCAGCACTTTGGCCGCCCGTCCTCTTGTGCCCCAACACCTCCCCATCTCTAGGAACATCTAATTGTTCCTGATCTTTCCTGGGCCCAGAATACAATTCTACAGATAATGAACAAATAGTAATAAAGACAAAATAGAACAGAATTATAAATGAACCCAATGTCCCTAAACTGCAGGCAGAGAGGCCAGCTATTCTCTTCACGGCTGACTTCGCATGCGGTGTGTGCCAAGGACTTCCAGGAGGCTTAACCCCGTGGGGACGATACCTCGGGTCTGGTTTCTGCCAGGTGACTGGCATTGTCACGCAGACTCCACTGGAGTGGTCGTGGCATCCATCATTCTACCACCTATTTCTATTCCAAGATATCTGTACAAGGAGCATGACTAACTCCATTTTATAAATCTGGAAAGAGAATCTCAAAAAAAGTTAAATAACTTCCTCCATGTGGCACAGCTACCAAAAGACAGAGCTAGAGATCAGACTCCAAGTCCTCTGCTTTTGCACCCGCCTCTCTATGGAAACACAGAGATAATACTCAATCCCAGTGACAGCATCTAGATAGTAGCCTTGTGGTCCTTATTCCCAGTCCAGGCTTTCAACTCTTATTTGCATTTGGCCTCATATGAGACCTTCATCCTTTGCTATCATTTACTGGTCTCCAAAAAAGGATAGTGCTGGGAGTGAGTTGTAAAATCCCATCTGTCAGGGGTTGAGGGAGAATGCCATTTGGCAAGCCCAGTATCTTTCATACCTTTGTTTTTATTATACAAGTGAACCTGCTGGAAATATGAAGTCATTAGCTAAAGGTATTATAACTAGCTATTACCAAGAGAGAAAAATCTCCTGGAGGTGGTGGCATTGGTCCAAATATTGAGCCTCAAAGTTACTGAGAGCTCCTCAGGCCCTGAGAGTAGCTGACGGTTATCTTTGAAACTAGCCTGGTAACTGACCTCATAATCTGCACTATTTTGATGGTCTATGTGCTCACCATGGTTTCTCCCCAGCTTCCCAGCATGTGCTTATCCTCCCAGGCTGGTCATTAGAACCACAGCCACCCCCAGTGATTAGCTCTCTGCGGATGTCCTGTATTTGGTTCACCCAGAGCACAGCCCTACCCCGCCTAGAGTGGGTGGCAGCTGTGTTGGATACTTTCAATGACATAGAATGTTTGGGATTTTTTTTTTTTTGATTCGTGAACTCTCTCCTACAAAGCCTTTAAAAGGTCTGAAAAGTAATCACACTTTATTGTATGCTCACTTAGTTTCTTTATTACAAAGAATAAACATTTATGAAAAGTGGGGTAGGCCCAGAAAATCTGGGATAAAGGTCACCTTGGGAACTTCTTAGAAAGCTGGGAAAACTTTCTGAACCCCTCTATTGGAAGGGGTTGGTCCCTTCCCTCCTGTAAACATCTGAAAGACAACCCCAGGAGGCCTCCTATACCTCAGTCTAACCTGGTCTTTACCTGCTCCTGGGGGAGTGGTGTTCCTCTCCTCACCCGTTAAAGAGAGAAGCTCCCCCAAATGACCAGTGTGATGGCTTACAACATGGGGCTAGAATCGTTGGAGCTTGGCAGTGACCCAGGGAGGTAGGCTAGCAGCACTGTTACTCTTCCAGAATCAGAGATGCTGACCAGAAGATTCTGTACATAAGAGATGACCAGCTTCTGGTGGGAGATCCTGATGCTGACAGCTGCAATGCAGGTGAGCTTTAGGGGCCTCTCCCTAGGCCTGTCCAACATTCTACTCACTCCCCTACTCTCCCTCAGCTGTTGTCCTATGACAAAGAGACGAGACAGTCATTAGTTGCTGCCTATCCCGGGGAGGGCGTCTGACACCTGTGGAGTCCTAGTCTCCCTGCAGCCTGCAGGCAGGGGCCAAGCCAGGCCAGGTATGCCCAGGCCCTCTTCCTTCCTACTTGCCCTTCACTTGCCAAAAGCCTGCAACCTAGCCTCCCCTTTTCTCTTGCCTCTTCTCTCTTTCCTCCCAGAGAAGATCTGCATACTTCCTAACAGAGGTCTGGACCGCACCAAGGTCCCTATCTTCTTAGGAATCCAGGGAGGGAGTCGCTGCCTGGGATGTGTGGAGACAAGAGAGGGACCTTCCCTGAAGTTAGAGGTAAATAATCCCTCCCCATTCTGGGAAGTACTACCACAGACCCAGCCTGACCCCCTGGATGCTTGGGCACATTGCACCCATCTGTGAGCTCCTGGCCAGGGCCAAGTATCCCCCTCCCTCAGGTTTACAACATCTCCCTTTGTATCCAGCACCAAGCCCCTTTCCTTCTGGAACCTGCAGAAGGCATATCCGTGGGTAAAGCCCTACTCTGCTGAGTCCTCTAGGGCTGCTGTCCTGTTCAGCAGGCTCATGCTGCAGCCACCACCTTCTCCCACAGGATGTGAACATTGAAGATCTATACAAGGGAGGTGAACAGGCTACCCGCTTCACCTTCTTCCAGAGCAGCTTGGGATCTGCCTTCAGGCTCGAGGCTGCTGCCTGTCCTGGCTGGTTCCTGTGTGGCCCAGATGAGCCCCAACAGCCTATACGGCTCTCCAAGGAGAGTGAGCCCTCAGCCCGCACTCAGTTCTACTTCGAACAGAGTCGGTAAGGACAAGGGAGACTGAGTTCCCACCTGGTCCCCCAAACCAGCACATCTTACTCAGGGTCATTGATAGGCAGAATAGCCCATCAAAGATGTTAGCATCCTAATCCCCAGCATCTGTGACTATATTGTCTTACACAGCAAAAAGGATTTGGCAAATGTGATGTTAGGTGTCCTGGGTTATCCAGGCAGGCTCAGTGTAATCACAAGTGTCCATGAGTTGGAGGCAGGATACAGAGAAGACTGGGAGATGCTTTGCTACTAAGTTTGAGGAAGGAGAAAGAAATCATGGGCCAACAAATGTAGGTAGTTTCTAGAACCTGGAAAATGCAAAGGAATAGATCCTCCTCCAGAGCCTCCCCAGGAGTATGGCTCTCCATTACAGACTTCTAACATCCAGAATGGTACAAAAATAAACTTGCCTTGTGTTAAGCCTCTAAGTTCATGGTAATTGTTACATCAGACACAGGAGAGTGCTACTGGGCCTCAGGTGGCCCCGTGTGCAGTGTTCTATGCAAGAGGCGTGGGTGACCTGGAAAATTCTTGTTCAAAAGCCACCCACAGCTTCCCTGCATGTTTTGAATTCAAGGCCACTATTGGAGCCCCTGAGTTGAGGTGACTTGTCACACCTGGGAATGGCAGGCTGGATCTCAGCAGCTGGGAGTTTGCAATGAGAAATGACATTTGTTCTCAGAGCCCTACTCCTCCTCCACTTTGTGAATCTATGCAGGCTAAGTTGGAACAGGCAACCTGTTGCTTCAGGGCACAGAAGATGGGTGGGCTCTGTCATCAACTCCTCAGCATCCTCCTGACGTTCCAAGTCTCGCTATGGTCAGAACCTTGAAGAACACTGTGTCATTCTCCTTAGTCTGACCTTGCAAGGCAAGTGTTCTCATTTCCACTTGGCAGATGAGGAAACTGAGACCTGAAATAACTTGCCAAAGTTCACATAGGATACACATTTTGGAGCTCAAGCTCACCCCTCGCACATCTGACCCCAATTCGCTCCACAAATATTTATTGTACTCCATGAGCTTGGGATGGATAGGGGGAAAAGCCAGACTTTCCCGCAGCTTGCCACTAAGTGGAAAAAAAACACTGAACAAGCAAATAAACAAGCAAGGAAACAGATAAGGGCAGTTTATGCAATAGAAAGTGAAGACAGGAAGTGTTAAATGGAAAATCAGATAGGGTGGTCAGTGCCCGTGTTTTGGACTCTTTGGGCTGAGGCTAAAGGACAGGAAGTAACTGGGGCCAGGAGTGATCTGGAAAGAGATCTGTTGCCAGGAATGCCTCCCTAAATGCACTGTTCAAGATACAGAAAAGAGCCAGTGTGTTCAAATAGCAGCAAAAGGCCAGACCAGCTGCTGCCTGGAGAGCAAGAAAGGGTTGGAAAGTGAGCAGGGTCATCCAGCTTGGGTTGGGTGGTGCCTGGAAGACAGAGGAAGGCCTTCTGTGTATTTGTTGCCAACAGAAGCTACGGGAAGGCTTTAAGCAGAGGAGAGACGTGATGTGTTTCATGGCTGCTGACATATTTGGGTTCTTTCCATGAGTGCTAAGTAAATACAAAATCTTAAATGGATTGGTGGAACAAACCACTTGGTTCTGGTTGGATGTTTATGATACAAAGTAAGGGAGCTACAGTCGCAGGTAGAAGAGTGCCATTGTAGCACAGAGGTGGAGCTGCCTTTGCTTTACAAAGGAAAGGGCATCTGATCCGGGCCACAAAGGAAAAAAAAAAAAAGTGTTTTCCAGGCAAAGAACACAGGGATGAACATGCTAGCCAAAAATAAGAACTCAGAAAGGTGCAATAGAGGAGAGCTCCAGGCACATGTAAGGTGTCATGAGTCATTAATGTGGCAGGTGCCAAGACTTGTGACTGAGGAACTGCTGGTAATTAAGATGGGAAGATGGGTGGGGGCCGCTCAGAGTTTAGACAATATCTGGAACACCTAGAGGACCTATTTCAAGCAGGAGTGGAAATTTTAAATTGGGGCCCTTGTGATCATTGTTGGGCTCAGGTGCTAGCAGGGCATCAGCTCATCCTGGCTTCCTCCTCCTCCCCTCCACCTCCACCTGTCTTCAGTCTGGCACTACGTCAGCTCAGCTTTGATGATCTGGTGCTGCAGTCAGCCTGGCCCCTCTTTCCTCTTCCCATGGCCAGCTCATTTCCTTCGCTGTGGCGTTAAAAGAGAAGTGTAAGCATTCTGAAACTTTAAAGAGTTGATTTGAATGATTCATGACTCAGGCAGTGCCAAACTGCAAATTATTTAGGGCTCTGATGAAGGATCCTGTGTGTGTGTGTGTGTGTGTGTGTGTGTGTGTGTGTGTGTGGTATATTTTTATGAGGTGTTTGGGAACCAAGAGAAGGAAACCTTGGTTAAAAGGAAAATCCCTAGTTAAAGCTTGTGGTTTCTGATTGGTAAAGACTCTAATTAGAGGTTAATTGGTAGTTTCTGGTTGGTTAATCTAAAGTTTCATTTTCTTAGGCTATGACAATTCACTGAGTTGCATTTTAGTTTGCTGAATGCAAGGCTTTAGAGTCATCTCCGCCTACTAGTCTCCCAATTAATTATTTTAACATATGATCACTCATTTTTGCTGACCCTCCACTTGTGATCTGGGCCCATGGATTACTCAGGCATGATCAGGCCTCCTCCTACTAGTTAGCCTTACCCCAAACCAGATCAGGTTCTCTAAATAAGTATGAAAACATTTGGAGCATCTAATATATACTATATCTGTGTTTGTGCTTGGCGGAGGAAGAGAACATACAGACTTCAAAGATACATTCCCAGTTCTTCAAGGACACACAGTATAGGTTATAGGGCTACACTTTATAGATAAAAGCTAATATTTATTGACTGCTTCATAAATGAGTAGGGAGACCTTCCAAATGGCATGCAAGTTCTTTGATTCAAACTCCGAAGGTCTGGGGCTGGGAGTGTAGCTTAGTGGTAGAGTGTTTGCCTAGCATGTGCTAAATCCCTGGGTTTGTTCCCCAGTACTATAAGATAAAACAAAACAAAACCAAATTCTGCAGGTCTCCGATAGAGATAAGGATAAAACGTTGTGGTGGTAGGGATTTAAAAATAATAAATGGAAGTAGCCAAGGCTTGTCTTTCAAATTCCTTCTCTTTCCTAGAGAAGCCTTAACTCTGTAACCAGGCCACAAGAGATTATAATTATATAACTATGAAGGAGAGGCATGCTTTGGCCTTATTCACTGTTTACATCTCAGAGTGGACTGGTGGGTCTGGGAACAGGGTGAACCAGTGATTGGAACACAGTGTGGCAATCTTCAGTCAGGCAGACCAGGGAGCTCAGAGGGAGGGGAAGGTGCATTCGTGTACCCATGTGTGTGTGTGCATGTGTGTATAGTGTGCACATGTGCATGAATGAATGTGTGTGCTGTGCATACACATCAGGGTGTGTGCACATTCACAAACAGGCTCCAGATATTAGGCAGCAGTTGATTTGGAGAGAGGCTCATCTTTCTTCCATGAAGCTTTGGAACAACTTTATTCAAGGGGGCAGTATATTCAGGGTCTTCTAGATCTGCATTCTCCAAACCATTACAACCAGGATTCGCAATCAAGTCACACTTTCCTTTAGCCCAAATTTTCATCTGGAGATCCCAACCTGAACGACTCTCTAGCTCCCGTGAACAACTGTTCCAAACAATTTACACAAACACAGAGGGCGCACAGGATATGTCAGTTTTTGGGAAGTCGACCCAGAGTTAGGAAGGGAAAATGCAAGCGAAGAAAAGTAAACAAGACCCTAATGAACATCACATTTTCCTGAATGTCTTTTTCTAAAACACAACTACAGTGTCTCCTGAATGAATTTGACAGAAATGAGTGTAATGAGCATAAATAGAAAAGTTAACATGTTGAACCAAAGCATTGGAATTCAGCTTATTTGAATACATTTCTGGTTTGATTTCACATTTGCTTAATTAAGAGGGTTCTTTATGATTTTTAAAAAATCTATTTATTCCCAGAGAAATCTAGTCTGCCTTAAAAGCCAGATTTTGAGATGAGAGCTTGTAGTGCAGATTTTGGGCTGCAGATGGTGACAGAGATCAATTTCATCCTTTTTGAGAGTCAGTTGTGTGAGTAATCAGGGTAAATGAATTTGAATGTTTCATGTCCCCTTGTGTCAGCCAGTGTGTCCTTCCCCAAGTCTCTGCCTCACTTATAATAGATTTGTCCTTCTGAAACAGTGAAGATTTCAGGAAACTCATGTGCTGCTTCCTGCTGATAAGATTTTTAGTGGCCCCTTGACAGAGAGACATCAGCCCTACCCTCTGGGAATTTGGAGTCTAAGCTGCAATATAGATATAAAACACATTCTCACAATATGTGAACCTGGTTTCTCCTCCTCGTGCCAGCAATGCAGCTGTGAATTATTTTCCCACACACTCAGCCCCTCTTACTCTCCAGGGACACCCTTGCCCATGTTCTGCTTATAGAATCAGACGAAGGAGACTGGGGGCTTTGAGTTCTACTTTGGGACATCACTGAGCTCAGACATTTTCTGAGGGACCGTAGTCTTAGCACCTGAGGTACAAAAGCAGCAGTGATTACATGAGCTTGTCTGCATGTGAGGATGACAGACACAGGCATCTCCCGGCTAAGTATTTTACAGACTGGGTCCAGGGAATACTTCCCAGCAAATGCTGACAGGTTTAATTGGGAAAAGGGGTTATTTCTGATCTCCCCATGTGCCTCTCTCATTGACTCTCTCTGCTTCAGCCACACTGGCACCACTGTTCTCCAAAGACAAACACTCCAGGCACCATGGCCCACCCCTTCCCCTCCACCTCTGTACCAGCCCCCTGTTTGGAAGGTTTGTTCCCCAATTATCTACATGGCTCACTCCCTCAGTGAGTCCCCTCATTACCTCATTTAAAATTGCAATATGAACCCCCTGAAATCTCAGCACTCCTAAGTCACTCAGAGTACTATTTCATCTTAACATACTCTTTGACTTGTTTTTTACTATTTATTTTTTCAGAACTAGGGATTGAACCTAGGGCCCTTGCACTGAGCTACACCCCCAGCCCTTTTTAAAGAATTTTAAATTTTTAAACATTTTTATTACTACCTGTTTTCAGTATATAATGATTGCATTCCTTGCAGGGAGCTGATACATGTATATACACATTTTAATTATTTTTTCATGCCCTTCTTTTCCTCTCCTTTCCCCTCCCTCCATCTCTTAATCCTATTGGGAAAGATTTATCTCCCTACTTCCTATTATCTTTTATTTTGTTCTTTGTTTATTGGTTTCTCATAAAAGAGAAACCATGTGACATATAAGCTTGTGCGTCTGATTTATGTCACCTAACATTATGGTCTCAAGATGCATCCATTCTCTCACAGATGATCCAAGTTTATTCCTCTTTATTGCAGAGTAGTACACCATTGTGTGTAAATATCATTTTTTCCTTATCTGTTTGTCTGCTGATCGACTAAGTTACTAATTTCCCAGGCTGGATAAAAACTTGTGATCCTTTCAGCCTCCCAGAGTGCTGGGATTACAGGTGTGTGCCACCAGGCCTAGATTCTTTTCTTAGTGTGCTTTTTTCCTTTACTTTCTATGAGAATGCAAGCCCCACAGTACAGCAGTTTTGGCCTGCTCTGTTTGTTTATATATCACCAGCATGTATAGTTGTTTGTGATGTGTGTCAGACACTCAGTGGCTTTTTCCCAATAAACGAAGAAATAAATACACAAGTAAATTGGGAGAACTTTTGGTTAGTAAGACCTTTATAAGCAGCATCCATAGGAAGCCCCACTTGGATTCTCAAAGTTATCAACTTGGAGTTCAGGATGTTTGGAGAAGAGCACTAGGACACCCCTCCAAATTCATCAAGAAGGACTGTGACAGCTGGTGGAAGTATAGGAGAAAAAAAATCTGAGCCCCAGAAAGAGGGGTGGAGGAGGATATGGAGTTTCTAGACTCCCACTTTGCATGGTATCTTCAGTTACCCGTTGTCACATAACAAACCAACCCCAAACCTACAGCAGCAACAATTTATCATTTGCCATGGTTCTGTGGGCTCTCTGGGTGGGTCCTTTGCTGTTGTTCCAGAGTGCACTCATTCAGCTGCAGAGTCAGCTGGGCTGAAGGGTCCATGGCAGTCTCAACCACATAGCTGGTGATTGGAACTGGCTAGTGGCTGGGGGCCTTGGCTCTGCTCTAGGTGTCCTTTCATCCTCCAGTAGACTGGATTGATGTCTTTATATGACAATTTTAGTGTTGCTTTTTTAAAGGAGAAAGATGAATGCTGCAAATCTTTTAACACCTTGGCTCCAGAGCTCATTTAATCACCCCTGCTGTATCCTGTTAAAACACTAGTAAGGCCAGCTGGATTCAAGGGAAAATGGGTGGGGAAATAGATGCTACTTCTTGAAGGGAAAGCTGTGATGAATTTGTGCCCAATGTCATTGTGAACAAATGGGAGAAGAGGAGGATAAAACTGGGCTGACTTATTCCTAAAAGTATACTCATGCACGTCATTTTATGGTGCCTTTACAAGAAAGTCTGACATTGCTGTGTAAACTCTCCATCCATCCATCCATCCATCAATCTATCCAGTCAGTACAGGTAGCACAAATGAGGCCAGGAGACCACTCTCCTCCATCCACTTGAATGTGGGCAACATGTCAGCATCAAACATCCTTCCACTGTTCTGAGAGAAGCAGAAAATAAAATAACAGCCGGGTATTTAGCTCAGTGGTTCCGGCCACTGCTTCGCAATTCTGAGATCTGAGAGAAGCAGAAAATAAAATAACAGCCGGGTATTTAGCTCAGTGGTTCCGGCCACTGCTTCGCAAGTGCAAGGACCTGAGTTCAATCCCCAGTACTAAAAAAAATAAATAAATAAAATAAAATAACAAAGATCTGGGAAATCTCTAAAGCTCCAGGCCAGAGTACATGTAGATCTCAGGGCCTGTACTTTAATAGTTTCGATCCCCTACTTGAACCTCGTTAAAGGTTCATACATAAAGACTGAATCTCACACATGTAATTTAATCTTAGTAAACTCTGGGCATGAACTCAAACAGGTGTGTGTGTGTGTGTGTGTGTGTGTGTGTGTGTGTGTGTGTGTTGAAAGCCTCTGAAGATGACTCAGCATCCTGTCAATCACTCCTGTTCATCTTACCTAGAAACCCAGTGAGAAGCACCCAGGCTGGGTGCAGAAACCAGTGGGCTGCTGTACTTGTGCTCCTGATGCAGGAGGGGGACGTCATCCGCACCCAAGACCCTTTGGGTGTATCTTGCTTAGTGTTGTTCCTGCTGACTGGGAGAGTGTCAGCCCTCCAAAGGGCTGGCAGAGGAAGTGAAGTGCAGAGAAGGAGGGCAGGGGTTAAGGCAAGTTGGAGTTAAGGCTAAATTGGAGGGGCTTATCTAAGTAGAAACATTAGAAAACAAAGGGTTTGTGGACCAGGAAATGGGTCCTGAATCTCAGAAATCCCTTCTGCCCCACAAGAACTCGCCAGTGGTGCTTTTGCTAATAATAGTATGAAAAAGGATTTCTGCTGTTTCATTCATTTCTTTTTGTCCCTTTCCTATGTCTCTTTCAGATGTGCTTGTTGGTCCACATTGGGCTTTCATATCTGTGATCTCTACATTCATAAATTCAACAAACTGTGGATTGAGATATTTTAAAAACTGCATCTGTAAGCAACATGTACAGATGTTTTTCTTATCATTGTTTCCTAAACAATACAGTATAGCAACTATTTACATAGTATACACATCATGTTACATATTGTAACTAATCTAGTGATGACTTCAAGTATATGGGAGAATGTACATAGGTCATATACAAATACTATGCCATTATAAAGGACTTGAGCATCCACAGGTTTTGGTATCCACAGCAGTCATGCAATCAGTATTCTATTCCATGGATGCTGAGATAGCGTATGTGTGGAATCGCACTTTAGGTTGTGTGCTAGATTTGTATAGAGTTTAACTTTCCAGCTTTTTCAAGCACTTTCAAGCCTACCCCTCCTTCTTTCCCAGTGCCTGAATTCAGTGTTGAGCACAAACAGAAAGCATAATTATGGACCTTGAATGATTCTGAGACACAGATGCAATCTGAGAGGAAGACCAAAAGCTGCTGTCAGAGGTATTCTCAAGAACAGGCTCACCTTGATCCAGGACTATTCCTGTTGCCCCTTCACATCCTATACCCCTGGCGTGCTGCTCCCACTGTTGACAGCACGGAGCTTTAGAGGTTCATAAATTCTCTTCTATATCAAGATTAGCTGAGTGATATTTTAAAATGAAGTTTCTTGGAAACTTGTGGTTGACACAAAATTGTGGTGCTGAACCCAGGAACCTAAATTTCAAGGAAGCCTCAAGGTGATTCTTAGAAAAAGCCTGAAGAGTCCCAGCATCCATAGAACTTCACCTTCCTTACCAGTATTTCTGCCACTGATGCTGAATAAATAGAATTTCTCTTTAAGATGTGCTTGTCACATGATTTAGACATAAGCCACCTGTTATAAGGTATGAGTCAGCCTCACAGAAGTTATATCCCAATCTGGGTGCATGACGCTCAGTATGTGTCGGTTTCCATGACAAAAAGGGAATAACTAAAACAGGAAGTCAAAGATCAAAACATAACCCTCCTCTAAGGAACCATGTGCCATAGATGTGATTCAACATGTCATTCTTGGCTGAGGCTCCTTAGTCACAGAAGATCATGGAAAATCATCTTCATTATGAGAGGCTATTCACTGGTTACTACTCCTCCACCCCAAGAAAGAAAAACTAAATAGAAAAACAAATAAGATTTTGTTTTTCTGAGAATTTACATCTCCTAACACAAGAGGCATGAAAACCAATGGGTTAGGTCCCTTTTAGGACAGAAGATGCTTTGCCCAGGGCTGGCTAGTCTGGGGGCAGGAGTGTGGTTTTTTAGGGTAAATGTTTAAGGTTTATGCTACCTCCTTTCCTGTTCACAAAGTTGAGTCTCTCTCTTTGGGTATAGCTTGGTTGTACATTAAGGATGGTACTTCCTAGGCCAATCGCTTGACCAAAGGGAAGGGCCCTCTTGCTCTGAAGAGATTTTTGACAAGGGAATGTCAGTGCCATAGAGAGATTTGCATGCACCCTGCATGGTAGAGGCAGTAGGTAGAGGCTGATCCTATTATCAACATTCTGTGTGTGTGTGTGTGTGTGTGTGAGATTGAGGGTTGAACCCAGGTCCTTTGATTTTGTAAGACTTGAATAAGCTAAAGTGACTCCATTCTTCATATGCTAATTGCTACCTTGGTTAACAGCAGGCCCAGAGGCAAATGGTTTGACAAAAGGTGACCATAGAACATTTCCTGCATAAGATAAGCAATGTGTTTACAGTCTTGTTCTGTGAATTCCCTGACTCTTTGTTTGGAAAAACCTTATAAAAATTACCTCAGCCCCTGAGCAGTTGCCTCTCTGAGCTACCTGGCTCCGGGAGTGCCATCTGGCCAGACTAATAAAGGTCTATTTACCATCTAGCCTGGTGTGTTCCTTCCTGGGTTTCTCATTTCTTGGTGGAGCTCCCGGAGCCTCGCTGGGTGTTAGGGCCCAGCACTGTGGAGGCCTTTTTGGCTGTTCATGCTCCGTGGAGTGGAAGTGAGACTTTAAGTCTTACAATTTGAACTACATTTCCAGTTCTTTTAAAACATGTTTAAATTTTGAGATAGGTTTTTTGCTAAATCACTAAGTTGCCCAGGCTAGACTTGAGCTTGTGATCCTACTACTCAGCCTCCCAGAGTGCTGGGATTTTTATCACATGACCCCTGACTGTGCACTAAGGGACAGAAGCTTTTTGCATTTTCATATCTGCATATAAGTCATTGTGAAGCTGCTGCACCCTTCATGTGCAGCAAGTTTTACACTGTAGAACTCTGGGAACACCGCTCACATTCTAATATCATAGACAAATATTTACTATGACAATATTCTGAGAATTGCCTATACAGTATCTCGCAGTAAAAACACCAGTATTTTGAATGACTTTCTACCTGGTGAGACTAAAGCCAGAAAAGGAAGCCTTTTGCTAATTTGCTCCATGGAACCATGTTGTGGTTACAGCAGAATACAACCAGATTGTGAAGTTCCTTAAGGTGAGCCTAAGGCCTGGTCTCTAGCAGGACAATATGATGTCACCATGAATTATTTCAGGAAGGGTGAGTGACATGACCACATCTGCCCTCTAAAATAGATGCTTCCAGGTATCAGCTGGAGCGTGGTTGTGATGGGACAAGTTTAACCAAATGAAAATGCTGATAGGAAAGAGTTCATGGAGAATGACAGGTTGGAAAGGTCAGGGCAGAGCTGCAGTATGGGTTAGTGGGTAAGCTCACGGACTCCTGAGTACACTGGTCTGAATTCAAGTTTTTACTCTGCTTCTTCTCATCTGAGTCAATTGCATTATGACAGTGTGTTTACATAACTTTAAAAATGATAAAAGAAAAGTCATATGCTTTTAATTATTCCCAGTGCATCTGGGAAGAAAAAGTACCAATGACCTTCTTTAAACTTAATAAGAAATATTTTCTTCTCACTTACAGATATGAAAGGGCATTTTCAGTATTATTCTCAATGCAATTGTTTAATTTATCTCTCTAGTGTAATTAACCACCCTAAGAATTTAGTGGCTTTTAAAACTACAGGAAGACAATATTTATTCTGTTTATGATGCTGGTAGTGGGCAGGGCTCCAAAGGAACATTTTATCTTTGTTCCACACAGCATAGGCTACAGGGCTGAAAGGGAGGGACCTAGGTGACTGGAGGTCCCCATATTCAGAGCCCTAGAGGTTGATGCTGGCTCTTTTGGGGGCCTCAATGGTACTATTGGCCAAAATACCTTTTCATGCCTCTAGGGCCTCCCCACAATATGGCCACTGGGTTCTGTGTGATGTGAGCAATATATATGGTGATTGTTTTAAAAAATTATTACAGGTAGAAGACATATTGCTATTAAACCCCTCAAAATAGTGCCCATCAATTTAAACACTTATCCCATCATATTTGCTACTTTCTGAAGTGGTTCTAGAAGTCCTCTTTCCTGAGTGTTTCTGAGAGACCATCAAAAGTTCAGTGAAGTTTGCTGCCAAGGGCCATCTAACAGAAAAACAGCTTGTAAAAATCATCTGATTTCCAATATCTATTAGTACACACACTAATAACTTAACCTCATGTGTCTTGACTTTTCCCTAGACCCTACACTATGCAATCACCCCTGAGTGCAGCCTTTCTCTTTTGTGCTCACAGAGGGGGCCAATTAGGCCTCAATTCTCCTCCGGTCTCCCTCAAACCATGGGGAGTATTTTAAAGAGGATTAATGGCAGTGTATTATTTATTATAATAAAGTTTTTAAATTTAAGTGTTCACTGTAGTTTTCGACCATACATTATGGGAATGTCTGGAAAGAGAGCCAAGTGAAAGCTGTGTAACTTGACGACCTTGTTTCAGAAGTCATTCAACATGATTTCTACTTTATTCCCTCCTGTGCTCAAAGGGAGGGAAACTAGACTCCATCTCTTAATGAGAAAAGTCTCAAAGAATTTGTGGGCATGTTTTAAAAATCACAACAGCAACACATTGCCAATTAAGACAAATTAAGATTAGAAATTTCTTTTTCAGGGAAATTTCTACAGGACATAACAGCATTTTCTGTAACCTCCAGTGTATAACAAAATTCTTTGGTCCCAAAACTTGCAGGCCCATATTAATTTTAACCAAGAACCAAAGAGTTGATGAGAGCAATGGATCTTCTTTCTGCTCTTCATAGTGCATGGCAAAAAAAGTGCTAGCTTATTGCTGTTCTTAAGTTAGTGCCTCTCAAATGAATTCTTTGAAGAAGTTCGTGTTGCAGAAGTATCACCTTTCTACTCAGGCTGTGAGGGACCACAGGTCACTCTCTGAACTGCTGAGACCTTTTCTTTTGTCCACCTGTTATTATGCAGACTATCACTAGAAGTATATTATTTATTTGCATGATAAGGAAAAAAGCAGGCCCTTGTGCTTCAGATTTACCTAAGCAGAAATGGAATAAGGACTAAATAAAATCTTGTTTAGTAATAATGGAACAAAGACCGCAGATTTTTTTCTTTTTTTTTTTTTTTCACCTACCATGTACTAGCTTGGGCAAGCAAAGTATTAACAATCATTTTATAGGGTTTGGGGAATGCCTGAGCAAGCTCATGCATACTGAGCCCTTAGCATGGATCCAGGCACCCAGAAGTGCTTACTAAATACTTGGGAATGATTGACAATGCCAGAGATTTGAGGAGGTGGAATGAGACACAAAGCAAAATCATAGATGGCTAGCCTAGGATAAGAGTGCCTGCCTCTATCAGATGAGAAAGAAGAAGGAAAAGATAAAAATAAAAGATTCATCAAGTTTTAACGTGGGTTGATGGGGAACTGAAAAAGTCTCTTCTACTTGCTTCTGTAATTTCTCACTAAGTGAGGGAAGTGGAGGTTGAGTAGGAGAATAAAGAGATGATTTCAAATTTTTTTTTATGTGTGTAGAGATGCAGTAGCCAAGTAGGTACAGAAACATGGAAGGGTTGTGAAGCAACCACAAAAGCCAGTTGGTTTCAGATCTTATCACTGCCCACTGTGCTGATTGGTGCTCAGTGGCTTTGGGGTAGAATCCAAGATCTAGTGCTGATCCAGTTCTGCCTGAAATGCAGTGGGAAGGCAGAGGAATTAGGCATTGGGTAATGTGAGCAAAAAATCGAAACAAAGCATTTGTACATAGCGAGGGGAGGGGAGTTGAGGGAGGAAATGGGATAAAATAAAATAAATTTTATTTTTAAAAATTAAAAAAAATGGTGCAATGACTAGAAGGAAGAGTCCTCCAAAAGAGGAGCATGTTGAGCAGAATTGAACAAGTCAAAAGACTAGAGGTTTTTAGAACAGCTGAAATACAGAAGCAGTGGAAATAATAGAGTGAGAAAAAAGAGAGGAAAGGAGACAGAGAAAAAGCTATGATGATTGCTGGATTTGGCTGTGAGCAATGGTGCATGCCAAAAGCCCAGCTACTCAGGATGCTTCAGACAG